TCGTCGATATGGTGATGTCAATGTTTGACTCACCGTTTGGGCCACAGAAGGTTGCTGGGTGGCCCGGTGAGTTCCATATGACGAGGTCGTGGCTCAGGATGAAGCCCTCCATAGCCCTTCTCCGGTGCTCCGCCTCGTGTCCGCGCCCCGTGTAATGCCGAGGCTCAGAGTGCCACATCGGCGAGTGGGCATTGCTGTCCAGCCCAATGAGGACTCTCCTTCCGCGGAGTTCCTGCAGCACGCGTTCAAGATGGTGCAGGTGGCGGTCGATGGGCTCGGCGTACTGGAAGTACGCCGACACGACAAATAGATCTAGGGCCGCAATGTGCGCCACTGCACAGTGCTCCGAGCAGAGGTCCGACTGGGATGCGGCGCTCAAGGAGTCGGCTCCAAGGAGGATGCCAGCCCTCGGTTGGTTACCCGATTGCACCACCATGAGCGGTGCCTCCGGGTCAACCCAGGCCCTCGAATATTGTTCTTGAGTAAGAACAATACCGAGGCCCAGGCCCCGCGCAAGGGCCGGCAGCTCCCTGGTGGCCAACTCCGAGCCGCCCGCATTGATCTGCCCGAAGGTAATAGCATGTTGTTTAGGAGCCATATTCTGTGGTATGGACGGCCCGTTGCTCGGCGTGCAGGCGCGCAGGGCAGGTCTTTGCCATTGTGGCGTGTGTCGCGGCGTCTCCTCGCCCGAAGCGATGACATGTCGCGCAGCGGCTCTCCTCAGACTTGCACCCCGATCGGTCGTGCCCCGTACTTCCGCACCGTCCGCATGTCTCCTCTTTGGCCCTACAGTACTTGGCCGGGTGGCCGTACTGCTGGCACTTGGTGCAGCACGTCACATCTACATAATCTGTAGGTGTGATGACGTCCCACCCTACGTACAGTTTGTCCCTCCTGATGAGCGCTCCCCTTAGTGACGGACTGCACCGAAGCACCACAGTAGTGTTGCTGCTGCCCCTCCACGATTTTTTGAAGGCAACCTCGCTGTGCCTCTTTATCTTTTCAGTGGTCCAGCCTTCTTCCTCCATGTTTTGGGCTGCGAGGTTGCCAATTAGCTCTTCCGAGCAGATGTCGGAAGAGAAACCTCTCAAGGCCACTAGAGGCCGCCTAGCCTTTGGCTCGGTGACCCGTAGGGTCGGCGGGGCAGCCTCCTTCAAGCGGGCAGCAGCTTCCTTATTGGTGGTCTGTACGACCACCCCTGCATTTCCGACTTTGCGGACATTCGCCACCTGCAGCTGTAGTGTCGCCGGGCTGACTACTTTCTTGAGTAGCCGCTTCGTGTCTTCCGCAGTCCTGATCTCCTTTGCTGCCTCCTCTGTGGGGTAGAAGGCCAGGACTGGTCCCGGCGCTGCGATCCTTGTTGGGTTCTTCTGTACAGCCGCCATGTTTTGGTGCAGTCTCAGTTTAGAGGCATAAGTCTCCGTTTGGGCTGCCTTCATTGTTGGTCCTTCCATGTGAGTCGCCGAGGTGCTCTCGATCTTCCTGAGCTTTTCCTGTGCCAATTGAAGCTCTGCCTCGGCGACTCTCAGATCCAGTGCACCCACAACTGCGATTACTTCCTGCCCCAAGATGCTGATGGCGGCTGTGTCCGATTTATTGAGTTTGCTGCCCGGCCCTGTAATGACAGCCATGATGGCTGCCATATTTTTCCTGGCGACCTCTAGCAGCTCCAGCTTCGACGCCGTTGCCACATTGAGGCCGCCAGCAGTGGGCTCCTGCTGCAGCGGCTGCTCTGCTGGTCCTCTTGGCGGCTCCACAGTAGACCCCTGCCGGGGTCGCGGCTCAGGCTGGCGAGGCGCCGGGGCCGTTACACTTTTCTTCTGAGGTGGGCCCAGCGCCCCTGCCTGCAGGCCAGCGACCGGGGGGGCGTCAGATTGCCGCTGCTGCTGCGTACGAGCTGTAGGCCGCCGTCGCTCCACCGCCGGCTTGCTTCGGCGCGGGCCCGCATCGTCAGGCGAGGTGAGCGGCCTCTTCGCCGCCGCCGTGCGGGGCGGCGAGTCAGCCCTGCCCGTCAAAGCCGCTCCCGAGCCCGCTAGGCCCAGCAGATCAGCCTCAGCCAGACCCGGGGGGTCTCTGCTAGGCGAGCGCGGGGGAGGGGTGCGGCAGATCGACTTCCGCGGGAGGAACGGGGACCCGTCGTCCTCCTCCTCCATTGTTCACCGGAATTTTTCCCCAATTTATGGGAACACAAATTTCCCTAAAATCGGGGAGTTTTCAAAAATTTTCCACTGTCCACACCGTGTTCCTAAAGTTGCCACTTATAATATCACAAAAACTGCACTGAAAAAAAAAAATTTTGTCCTCTGGCAACCGCGCATGCACCGCTGACAGACGCCAAATCGGACCGTCAAGTGTGCACGACAGTCGGTCTGAGACCGTATCTGTCAAACACACTGACAGGCGACGGGCGACGTCTGTCAAAGGCTATCCGTCAGTCTTCACAGCGACGCATGCCTACCACATGGGCACCACATGGCGCAACTGTCTTAACCTAAAAATGTATTGTTCTAACCTAACTTATGCTACGAATAACCTAATTTAAATCTAAAAACTTAAAATTAGGGCGTCTATATCACCAAACCAATGTTACTTATAACTAAAACTCACTGTTTATGCGTCCTTTCGCCAAATTACACTGCAATCCAAGTTTTGCACAATTGCACTGTCACTAACACCACGTGTCCCGATACACGCTTCCCGCTTTCCCAATGAGGGAGAGAGGCGTTCGTGTACTGCGGGAACACAAAAAGATGGAAAATAGGGGAACAAGTTCCCGAAACTCGCGAAACACTGCAGGATACGAAAATTCCCGCAATGAGCACTAGAGGGCGCGGGCGGACGCCTGCTCGCCCCCGCCGCGGGACACGGATACTATGTCGCGCTCCTCCAGCGGCACACCCAGCGTGGCTGCTACCACCGATGCTATGTGATACGGATTTTCTCCCGTATCTCCGGTATGCACCGTACGAAACCTTTTGCTCTACGACGTCTAGCCTTCGCTCCATGTTGTCTATTCGAGTGTTACAGGCGGCGACCGAATGTGTGAAGAGCACACGTCCGCGCGCAACGCCAACGTGGTATGCTCCAGATCGCCACTATCACAACGACTACTCTGCAATTACTGTATATTATTATTAGATAACACTCAATATTAAGTACTGTATCACTGCTATTAAAATAAACAAATTTTCACAACAATTGTAACTATATTTTTATTTTTAACAAATAATTTGACGTAACGATGTACTGTACACCAAGACGTCCGTAACGTCACTCTAATATGCCGGGGCAGTTCTTTTCGAGGAACTCGAATAGGAGCGGGATGTCGGCCGCAGAAAAGGACATTGTACACAATATAAAATAAAAGTAAAACAAAAATAAATAAAAAGTAAAAATAAAAAAATAAATACAATGAGGGGACGGTCGTCGGCGGGTGCAGCCGACGGTGTCACCGGGGCCTCCCTGCCGGGTGAGGCAGGGGGGTGAGTGCCTATTGATATGTGACCCTAATATGTAAGATCACTAATCTTATTGAGTGAAAAATCTGTACCTAAGCGAACCTACTTGGTGGCGTCGGCGGCGGGCGGCAGGCAGCAGGCGTCGGCGGGTGTTGGTGGCAGCGGCGACGGCTCGGATCGGCGCGTCGCGCAATAGGCGTGACGCACCTCCCTAACTCACGACAGTCCATGCCACTGAGCGTCCACACACAACACTTCACTTCACTTGAACGAAAGAGTTCCTCCTTCAGTCCTCACAACACAACACTACACACGCGGAAAGTCCTGTAGTACCGTGTCGGAATGGATGCCGAGAGCGCGGACGGCCGCGGTCCGCGCGGGACACAGAGGCCCCGGGCCACGCTAGGTGCACCGCGTGCACCTAACACGCGGCGAAGTAGGATGAACGCGCGAACGTAACTGCGCTACGTGCGCGCGCGCGGCGGGTCGCTCGAGGGAGCAGAGAACAGCGAGACGGCGGCGGGACTAGCGAGCACATACGTGCGTTCGCTAGCGCGTCGGTCAACGGAATTATTTAATTAATAATTATTAAAAGACTATATATGTTCCAAAACAAATCTAAATAGCGTGATGTAGAAAAAAGTATAAAAACTTAACAACGCCATCTAGTGGCACACTTAGGGACTAAAACAAACATGTAATCTCGTTCGATTATACATTCTGCCCACCAAGGACAAATAGCATCTTGTCCTTTACAATTATCAACCTGCCCACCGTGATATATTTTAATCAAATAAATTTACTGTATCTACTTATTATTAACGAAAATAAAATATTACATTCAAAAGAGTACCTTACTCAAAGAAGTTTGAACACAAATAATATAAACTAAACAAAAACCTGTCATTACTTGGCTATTGGTAAAATACACAATTTAGAAGTGGGCCTTTTAAGACATCCATTTTTAGTTTTTAATGTTACTACTCTAATTATATTATCTTGTCCTGGATGAGTAGCAACTATCCTGCCATAAAGCCAACGAGATGGAGGTAAACTCTCTTCCTTTATAGCTACTACATCCCTTAAATTTGGTGGCGGAGTTTGTGATGCCCATCTATAACGATGGAAAAATTTAGTTAGGTATTCTTTAGACCACTGATGCCAAAAATCTTGCACTATCCTCTGTGTATATTGCCACCGCCTTAAAGAGCTCACATTGGATGACGTAAAATCATAATCAGGGGCTGTTCTCAACGGTTCTCCTATCAAGAAATGTCCTGGCGTTAATACATTTAAGCTATCAGGATCATCGTTGACTACTGATTGAGGCCTTGATTTTAAACAAGCCTCGATTTGAATGAGTACTGCAGCCATTTCTTCGTACGTTAATGTTGAATTGCCTATTATTCGTTTTAGGTGGTATTTCACTGATCGGATCCCTCTTTCCCAAAGTCCTCCAAAATTAGGGGCATGCAGAGGAATGAAACGCCATATGTGCAACCAAGTATTGCCAATGATTCTGCTACTTCGTCCATTACAGCTTTATTTTCTGCATGGTTTTTTAAGTTCAACGGCTGCACCAACGATGTTCGTGCCATTGTCGCTCCCGAGTTCTGTGCAGGAACCACGCCTAGCCACAAATCGTTTATAAGCATTTAGAAATCCTTCCGATGTAAGGTCGCTCACAACCTCTATATGTACCGCACGAGTGACCATACAAACGAATAGGCATATATATCCCTTATAGGATCTGAAACCTTTGCCTTTAGTTGTTCTGATCTGAATGGGACCAGCATAATCTACTCCACTGTGCTTGAATGTAGTAGTAACTCTGAATGGACGTGTAGGAGTAACTCTACTTGATGGCAACTGTCCCATCAATGGGCTTTGGGTTGTACCTGCATTTTTGTGTAACATGTATAATGTTACACATTTACGGCAGTATGATTTTACTAGCTTTTTCCCGCCCGATATCCAAAATTTTGACTGAAGATAGCTTAGAGTCAATTGCAGTCCACCATGTAAAGTTTGTATGTATGCATCCACTACCAAAAGTGTGGTTAACGAAGACTGTTTAGGGATCAATAGAGGGTGTTTCTGATTATAGGATAGTTGGGAATGTTCTAATCTTCCACCTACTCTCAACAAGCCCTTTTGGTCTATGAACGGGTTCAATGGTTTCAGTGGACCCTTCAGTCTATTTGTCTTCATTGTACTATTAGTGTTACTAAAAACCTCTAGAAAATGTTTTCTCTGACACTGCCTTACGCACGTTTCCAGAGCGTCACTCAATTCTTTCGCAGAGAGGTATTTACTACGAGACGTATCATTCCGTCCTTTTCTGAAATTCAGAAAACGTCTGCAGTATGCAATTGTCCTTACCAATCTGTTAAGCGAAGAATATTTATCCCATATAAAACAAGTTGTAACTGTAATATGAACTTTGGCTGTTTCTAGTTCTGTTTCGACATCTTTTGGTTTTACGTACAGTATTTCCTTATCATGCAAGAATCGTGGACCTTCAAACCACATTACATTATTTTTCAGTTCTGATGGATACAACCCTCTGGACGTATAGTCAGCGGGATTGCATTTGGTACCAACATGCGACCAATGATGACTATCTAAATTGGTCAGAATTTCAGACACACGATTTGCAAAAAATACCTTCCAACGATTTGGATGACTATTAATCCATGCGAGTTCAGTCAGCGCAGTGCACTCATCTTCGCTGCACGTACTTTTAGTGAAGCCCCTCCAATTGCTACTTATTCATACATAGTGATGGAAAGGTGTCGATATAGGATCTATCGATAATCTCCTCACCTTCCCCAATGGATCGATATTTATCAAGATCAAATTCTATTGGTAAGAGACCATTAGAGAATCCTCGAGATACCACAGAATGGTTAGAACCTAAGAGATTTGCTGCACCTGCAGAGTCACAGGGTCCTGCTCCCGTTAAAGTCTCTAACAGGTATGAAAGTCTTTCTACAGAACAATGCTCCTCAGATCCTGCAGCTACAGCTGTGAAATTTCGTGAGGCTACCACTGTAAAAAATAAAACTGGACATATTCCTCCTATTCTGCTTGATATTAAGTCTACGTGGACCCATGAAATTATTAAAAGTATCATAGTAAAATATACTACAAGATTTCACCTGCAATATAAAGGTAACAATCAATTAGCTATAATATGCTACAATGCTGATAGTCACCAGAAACTTAAGGATGGTCTACGCTCCGAAAATATTGCATTCCATACATACTCTCGCAAAGATGAAAGACAATCTAGAGTTGTGATCTTTGGTTTACCACCTTATGCTGAGGAGGACTTAAAGGAAGAATTAACCAACCTTGGTTTTGCTGATGTTACTACTCGTAAATTAAAAGTTACTGGCAACAACACCTCTGTATGCCCACCCTTTTTGGTTCAATTACCACCTGGAGGCGATATTGTACATTTTCGACAAATAAAGTATATCAGCAACTGTGCAGTCCAGATCAGAAAATATCAACCAAATAATTTATATGGTACACAATGTTACAGATGTCAAAGTTTCGGGCATTCATCTCGAAACTGTAATCTACCTCCTCGATGTGTCAAATGCACAGAGTTTCATGCAACTGCCGAATGTTCAAAGAAAGATAAATCTCAAACTGCACAATGCTGCAATTGTAAAGGCAACCATCCAGCAAACTACCGCCAATGTGAAGAACGACAAAAATATCTAAAATTAATGCAAAACAGAAAAGAACAAATGAAAACAACTATGGCCAATAAAAGCAACGTCAAGGCTCACAAAACTGATGGACGTCCTTGGAATTTCGTCGTTCGTGATGGGCAGTACAGGAATGCCGAAATACCCGATACCCGATCCTATGACTTACCTCCTAACACTCCTCTACAGGATCAAGCTACTACTGAAATGTTAACTATATTGACGACTATTAAGTCTATCAAAAGCCAATTCTTGTCGTGTAACAATATGATGGACAAGGTTATATTGATATTAACGCATCTTGGACACTATGTATAATACAAATAAATTAAACTTACTGTACTGGAATGCTGACGGCATCCGGACCAAAATGACTGAGCTGCTGGACTTGGTAAGCCAACATTCGATAGATATAATTGCTATTTGTGAGACCAGAATCTCTTCTCATTCTAAACTACACACTCCTGGATATAACTTATACAGACAGGATAAGAGAAGTGACGGTAAAGGGCAGGGTGTTGCTATTCTAGTTAAATCTGACATATCACACATGCAAATTGTATTACCTTTAACCAAAAATCTTGAATGTATAGGAATTAGACTAACGATTTCAGGTAAACACGTTACCATAATTTCTGCTTACCAGTCTCCGAATCTTCCGTTACTTACCAATGATTTAGATTTGCTTCTAAAAACCCATCCAAATTCTGTCATTATGGGAGACTTCAACTCCAAACATCCATATTGGAATTGCCGCACTACTAATTCACATGGAGAACTACTTTTTGACCATATGATAAATAATGATTACAACGTAGTGGGTCCTTCCTTACCCACTCTGGTACACTACCATAGCTCTTACACTCCCTCAACACCTGACATAGTCTTGGTAAACAATATACACAATGTTACTGAGCCACGTGGTCTGACACAGTTGTCTTCCAATCATCTTCCAGTATTTTTCTCTATTGGAGGTAAATGTGAACGTAGGCCTCATAAACAGTTTCAGTACTCTAGAGCCAACTGGTTGTTATACAAAAAATATATAGATCGACATATTACCTTAAATCGTGGTATTTTCAATACCGTTAATGATATTGATGGAGCAATAGAACATTTAACTAACACAATTCTTGAAGCTCAACACCATTCCATACCTATTACCACCTCCAATGTAACCAAACAATCTCTCCCTAGCCATATAAAAAAGATTATCAAAGCAAAAAATCAACTACGTAGGCGTGCCTTAAAAGAATATAATCCTGTCCACAGAAATTTCTTATTCAAAGAGGTTAATTCATTACAAGCTTTAATATTTAAAAAGATCAAAATTTATAAGGACAATATTTGGCGTATGAAGTTAAGTAAAATAGATAATCCAGGGACTGACCTGTGGCGTGTAATTAAATCAATTAACAATACAAAAACTGTAGTTCCCCCTCTTCAGGTCTCAGAAGGAGTAATAACTAAATGCATAACAGAGCAATGTGAGGTATTAGCTGATACGTTTTCAGAAAATATGCATCTTACTAACAAATGGCTTAGCAATGGTGAAACTGAGGAATCAGTTAAAAATTACATCGATGAACTAAATAAATATAATTGCACAGGGATTCATAATCTTGTCAGGCCGTTTGAAATACAACAAACAATAAATAAATTGAAAACACGTAAATCACCAGGGGTCGATAAAATTCACAATATTTTACTTAAAAATATAACTCAAAAAGCTATTGTATTTCTAACTCAAATTTTCAATGGCTGCCTTAAGTTAGGTTATTTTCCCAGTAGCTGGAAGTTAGCCAAAATAATACCTATTAAAAAGTCTGGAAAGGACGATACAATCCCCACAAACTATCGCCCGATTAGTCTACTACCGAATTTGGGTAAATTATTTGAATCCCTCATTTTGACTCGTTTATCTAAGGCTACTGAGCATTTACTTTTGCCTGAACAATTTGGCTTCCGCAAAATACATTCCACAACTCAACAGTTAGCAAGAGTCGCGGAACACATAGCACACAATCTTAATTTATACAAATCAACTGGCATGGTCTTGCTAGACATGGAAAAAGCTTTTGATACTGTTTGGCATGATGGATTACTATACAAGTTAATGACCATTAAAGTCCCGCACAATCTCGTAAAACTCATTCAATCTTATCTTACCAGCAGACCCTTCTCAGTTTTCTTGGGTGGATGTTCTTCTAAATTCAAATTGATGCCTTCAGGCGTGCCACAAGGCTCAATTTTGGGCCCATATCTCTTTATTTTATACCTAAATGACATTCCAAAGCAACCACATACGCAGTTAGCATTATATGCTGATGACATAGCTTTATTCACAAGTTCCACAGATACCGACCTTGTTATCAGTCGACTTCAACTAGCGCTCGAAATAACTAATAAGTACCTTGTTAATTGGAAACTCAAATTGAATGGTACTAAAACAGAAGCCATTATGTTCACAAGGAAGAGATCTTTGCCCACTAGAGAAATCAAAATGAATGATTCTTCCATTCATTGGTGTAAGAGTGTTAAACGGACAAAATGGACGGAACAAATGGACGTTCACTGAGCGCGCACGTAGCGCAGTTAAGAGTGTAACTGCGCTACGTGCGCGCTCAGTGAACGTCCATTTGTTCCCTTACAGGAGGCGTCGAAGAGCACCCGTACTTTCGTTGTATCTTTATATTTTTTTACTACAGCATGGCGAGGTAAGTAGATAGCATCAACACTCTCAATTTCATTTACAGGTATCTCCTACATGTAACCAAGAGATAAGTATTCATTTATTACTTCTACATAACTTTTCTTTAAATCTTCATTTTTATTTAATTTTATCATTAATAATTTTAATCTTTTTTCAGATATCTGCAGGGATCTACTCACCAACGGACTCTCCTTGAATGGAAGACGGACAACATATTTACCATCAATATCTCGGTAAGTAGTATCAGTGTAATATTTTTCACACGTTTTTTCTTCATCGGTAAGTAATTTTTCCCTTGTCAATTCTGTATCAGATTCCAATTCCCAGAATTTCTTTAATATTTCATTTTCTTCTATTCTACAGTGCATAACCTTTATTTCAGGATGCGGGTTGGCAGACCCTTGAACTACTCCAGATAATATCCAGCCTAATCTAGTAGATTGTGCTACCAACGTCTCCGATGGACTCCTTTTTATTCTATTTTGTAATATACCTCCGCTCCCAATAATAAATCTATGCGATTGGGAGTATTATAACTTGGGTCCGCAAGAGTAACATTCTTGAGATCCTCCCATTCTAATGATTCCATTCTTTTTGTTGGTAAAATACTGGTAATACATTTCAAAACATATGCCTTTATAATAATAGTAAAATTAGTGTCAACTAGAGACTTCAGTTCTATGTTCAACATAGCCTTGGAGATGATATCCTTATCTCCACCCAATCCAGATATTTGCCCTCTGATCGGGATCTTTTTTAAACCCAAATATTGAACT